AAATAGATGGGAAGGAATAATATGTTTTAAAACATGGATATATTAGGAATACATGATGACATAAAATAAAAAATCAAATCAAACACCAGGCTAGAGAAGCAGATTTTAACTTTAAAGCTTCTCTTAGATTCTCGACAAGGATTCCTTACAGCAAGGAAGATATTCTAAAAATAATACAAACACTGACAACCTGGTAAGGGCTTAAAAATAGATGTTCTGTGGCAAACATCCATTTCATCCTTTTGAACACAGCATGGAACCAGTGCTACTCTGAGGTAAAACAGGGCGGATCCACTTGAGTGTTAGTAATTCGGAATATTAAAAATGTAGATGTAAACCAGACAGAATCCATTTTGTACTCACAGATGCAGCAGCAAAGACAACACTGTTATTTCAGCTACTAATGCACCAATAGGAACTTTTCTATGCGCACTGCACAATGAGTCAACGAAGGTTCATTCTCATATCGACAGACACATTTCTCTGCATATTTTGTAATTATTGCAACTACTAATACAGCTCACAACCGCCCGCCCTGCTAAATCTATCATCTGACCTTCAACATGTAAAGCAAGTCATTAGTAAGACTGAGAATGACTTTAATGGTGAGGATGAGGAGGACCAGTGGTCTGCTGCTGCTTGCCACACCCATCCCATCCCAGTACACACACACAGCAGAGGCGACCGTCCTTTACACCAGCCTCAGACTCCCCCTGCTCCCCTGGATTCACAATCTGCTGATTTATTATTCAATGGCGTGTACATCGAACGCTGTGACATATTTCATTATCGATCAATATCACTGGTGTCTAATCCAAAACACACCCTGCAGAGCGTTAAAGTAAGCACCGCCGGCTTCAGTGTAACCTTCATGTCAGTAATATGTGACCGAGCCGAGGCTGTGTGTTTGCATCACAAACACACACAGTGCAGGAAACATGCCACTGTTTTGGGTGATGTGATGTGTGTCCAGGTTAAAGTCAATCCCCCGACACAGTTTTTATTTGGATTTTGGGTCTTACCTGAATTGTTCGGTGGTTCTGCTCTCCTGTCTGCGAGGATGCTCAGTATGTGGATCCTCCTCGCTGTGTTTTCCTCTCTGTCTGCTTCTCTGTCTGGGCTGGAAACAGCTCAGCATACATATGGGACTGGAGATGACATCACAGCTGTTCACTTTAGAGTCGCTCCCTCTTTCTCAGATTAGAAAAGGTACATTCTCTCTGTCAATAGAGATGATGCTTAAATCCATTTTTTTTGTTTTGTATATAGAATGACACAGCACAATTTTCTACCAAGACCTAACAGTCTCCTTAAATTCTTAAATATTAGTCCCCTAAGTATGGCTGGTGTTTTTTTTCATCAGGACCCATGAACTACTTTTGAAAAATGCTGCATCTTGCTATTTTATTATAAGGGATTTTAAAAAATCCCTGGGACGGATCAGTACCAAAATCTAACAGGTTCTTCATTGACCTATATCAGATCCCTGCACCAAGTTTCATGGGAATCTGTTTAGTTGTCTTTATGTAATCTTGGTTACAAACATACAAACTAACAAACAAATGGACAGGGATGAGAGATATAACATAATGTAATAAATTAAGGGACAAAAATATTTAGATTTTTTAGCCCATGTATGGATTGATTTACCCTCTTGGGGCCACGGGGAAAATACAAACTACTAAATGGTCCCTAGCATTGAGCTCCACAGAGAGAGAGCTTGATTCTACATTCTATCAATGGCAGTTAAATGTCCACATTGAAATAAAACGTACAAGTCAAAGATCAGGCAATTTTAATCATTTAACCAGTCATGATTAATTACATCAGTTACACAACACATTAAGACATCCCATAGAATTGAGGTCAAGCACTTAAATCCCATATTGTTTGAAAGCATCACCGAAATCATGACCACAACTACCACACACACTGTGAGGATGAAAACATGAGCCAGTGATGTTGTGCTGAGTGCAGGCCTGATTCTACTGAACAACCACAGAAATGTCTGCGTCTTCAAGTGAAATTGAAATCCCTCACGCATGGCTAGGTGCTGTAATTTCTAGTAGACAAACTCACAGGTTGGGATGAGTAATTACCACTCAACACTGCGCTGCCCCAGGTTTTACTGCCAGCTCTGTCGGTAGCTGTCCAGTATCTCTGATGACAGGGCGAAGATTGCACAAATATTTGTATTTTCTTTTTCATTGCACATATTCTCTGAGAAGGTATCTAAACGTAGCACACATATACCCACTGTATTAATATTATCATTTGTAGATATACTTTGGACATGTGGGAAAAGAAAAGATAAAACTTGATGAATATGAAATGATTATTTTCTGTTAATAAAACGGATGAATTGTTCTTTGGACACATTGACAAACACAACATGGATTTCGATCGCCTGGAATAAAGTCAACAGATGTTTGACATGTCACAGTTGGACATCTTCAGGAGAAATTAATTATTAGTATTATTTTGGTCCTTGGTAATTCAGACTCTCTGAGGCTCAACCACAGATTTGGGGTTGTTCTGTGACATTCATTTAAAGTCACCTGAGATGTCTGACAAATGATCTTCACTCTGCTGGTCACATTAACATTAGCTGGCTGCAACACAGCCATCTGCTTTGAACTCAAAGTGGGTTTAATCAATGATTTTAGAATCGTTAATACAACCTGTAATCTGAAAGGGGTCGCTTCGAGTGATGAACACAATTGTCAACTGAATATAAATGTACCTGCAGCTTTAATGAGCTTCTTTGCACCACTCTCGTAGCATTACTTTTCTCTTAGGAGTTGGTGGAGACCAAAAACAGAGCTAGAAGGGAGGTAACATTGGACTCACATTTGCCAAATGATAAAGTTGCTCTGTGGCGGCTGGATGTTTAACTTTAATGGTGATATATGTCAGTGTTGTTTTATACAGTGTTTCTAATGTTAGATCATACAGATAAAGATATAGATGGATACAGATTTAAAATCCACCTGCAATCAACCCTTCACTGCTCTGTTTTAAAAACTCCAAGGCTACCTTCCATCTAGGCGCTCTGGCTTGAACGATTGTTCTTCAGCTGACAGTTAAATCAGTATCGGGATTGTTATGGTGTCGCTATGCTAAGTCAAAATATCTGCGGTGAAAAGTCTGTCAAAACACCTGCTCTGGTTCACACCTTCCTGGATATAAAGCCACGGGGAAGATCTTTTAATTAGGTTCTGATATTTGTCCTTATCTGCTGAGTTTGTTGAGACTTTATCAGATGCAATATGTTTCACAAGTCTGTTTTTGTCTGTTGAATTATTTTTATGCACTAATAACTTTTGTGGTTTTATGGTTATAGACATGAGAGGATCATCAAACTAAAACAAAGTGATTAAGCAAATCATTTCCACAATATCCAGCTATTTCTTCCACATCTTTTTACCCCTCTGAGCTCATGTCTATTTTTTGGCATCACCCTCCCTACTCAACTTCAAATTAAATTGTTGTGATCAATGTCACCTCTTTTGACAGATCCTACAATGAAATATAGCTGGGAGATTAACAGCACAGTGAAAGTGTGAAATAGCTTTCTTTCTCACGAAAGTGAATTGCATTCTCATCACAAAAACAGGTTGGTGATGTTATCTTGTAACTATGGTTACTGTTTATCGTTAATAAGATTTACTATCTGATAATCACAAGAACAGATTCCATAATTACAGGAAGCTGGTCTGGTAGAGAAATGAGTCAAATTTAATCAATCATCAAGTTTTTGGGTGAAAACAAGATTAAACAGCGATAATGAAACACTGGATTTACTAACAGCTACCAATGAATTTATCTGATGCTGAAGACATCATAAAACCAGTTGAGTCACTGGCACGTCCTGAAGCCAACATGTCTCATTGTTTCCTTCTAATTACAAGTTTGGAAATGTATGCGATCTTTCCTAATAATTACAAGATAAATTAGTCATAACTTGACTTACTAACCCACTATTATGAGACACTTTTCATTTCCTCTGTGAAAGCAATGCACTTCTGTAATTTCTTGAGTGAAGTTTTACGGAGGCCTCCGAACACAAACAGATGTTTTCGCTTGATGTGGCTGACCGAGGCTTAGGCGGAGGTTGAGCAGAGCTATGCGGGGAATTTATATGAGGTCACCGAGACCTGTGCAGGTGCATTGTGGGTGTAGAAGGGCTTGAAGGCACTGTGTTCCAAGGTAGGGTGACTATACTGCAGCTCATCAGTTTTTACTTCATAGACATTCCAGGTTATAATTCGGTTGTATATATTTTGGATTTAATTCTTCTAATGATGCAACAAAATCAGTAGATAAAAATCAAAATGTAAGGACGACTGTATCACGTGAATACTGCAAAGCAGCTTAAGAACCGTTCCGTACACTGTGAATTCTCATATTTAGTTATATTGCATTGAAAACTGCAGGTTTTTACTCATGTTTCTTGATGCTTAACTGTCACTTGTGTATATCAAATAGTCTTGTGTTAGTTGTGACTGGTAATATCTTAATAGCAGCATTTTTCTTTGACAGTCTAATAAATATAATTGCTGTTAGCGATTAGTGATCATCAAAAATGTTTAAAAGCAATTTATTAACCGTGCATTGGTATTTCATGTAATGTGACTCAAGGGATTTTGACATCAGTAAATTGACTATAAATTCAGAATTTAATGTTTTCTTCACAATCTATAAGAAGTATAAATGAATTGTGATATTTAAATATAAATACATACTCAATGCTAACCTTAAAAAGTGGCAGCAAACAAGGCAAGTATGTGATTTATCTACAGTGAGACAGAGGAGGACCAGGTTTATTTAACTAGACTTAGACTGACTCGCCATTTCGCCCAGATTTTACTCCACTTAGAATGTAACCTCGCACTGATTAGATTTAGAATGAAGAGACAATCTACTCAATATGTTTTTCTTGATATTTCAGATTAAAACATAGTGGCTGCCAGAAACTTGGGAGAAGTTAGAACTGTCTCAAATTATGTAAAATGTACAAAACACGTGTGTCTGATCGGTTTGTGATTAAATTATATACATAAGAAACATTATAGGTAGAAGATTTTAATCAAAGTTTCTCGAAACTGAGCTCTGTGATTTGGAGATCGTCGTGTTTCTTGCTCTTTGGATGGATGTGTTTTTACAACAGAATCTTGAATAAGAAAATCATGGTGTATTACATTGTGACGACAGTTGCATTTTTACATGGAATACTGAAATGCATCTTCGGCAATGATAAATTAAAGATGCATAAATATTTTTATAAGCAATTACCTTCTAGTAAACAACCCCTTCCACAGGAAACAGCTTCATTCATCTGATGAACTGAAAACAATGTATTTCAACAATAAATAAATATATTTGACAAAAAAAATAGTACCATAAATGACCTCACTGCTGTTACAGGTCTGAGTTTGTGCATGTTGTGCTAATTATCGTGAGATTATTTCTTTCATCTCGTTTAATACTGCCCCCTCTTGGTCATGGACACTGCATTCCTGGTCAATTTGGATTTATATCTTCGAATATACAGCAATGTTATTCATGCCGCAAAAAAACCTACAACCTCACTGTGTAAACTCACTATCAGAGAAGCCTGTTATTGCACCAGATATATAATTTGCTTTACTTTGCAATCTCTCTGTCTTAAATCAGTCTTTTCATAAATTTGGTATTTCTCTACTCTACTGTTCAAAATTATATCTACATGTTTATGACCATATTACTAAGGTTGATTATTGGATAGAACTGATATAAACTGAATAGAAATAGTCAATATTTCCATATTTTTGAACAATTAAATTTGTTATTGTCCCACCGAACAACTGGTGTCAGTGAAATATCCTTACTGGTCCAAAAAGAGGAGTTTGCAGTTGCATGTCTTTTAAAGCTGTTCAAATATAAATTACCCTAAATATGTTTTTTTTAAGACTTCATACATGCAAACAAACCCACTGTGGTATTTTGCTCTAAGGAGTCCATCAATCTCCTCATTTCACTGGTTTAAACAAACGGAAGTCTTTCATTCCTGAGGGCTCAGTGTTTGTCTATTTAAGGTTGGAGGTGCAAGAGTATAATTTATGCAATATCTCTCACGTTCCTATGCAACTAGTAAACAGGCAAACCACATAAAGCTTGTTAACGTCTACTGGTTGTTGCTTCTGACGACTAGAGGAGAAGTCATGAAAACCAAACATCACGCTGCAGTTCTGTCCTCCTCGTCATTCTGGCTCACGACGCCAGCGGCTGCCGGCTCACCACCGCCAGCTGAGCAGTATATGACACCTATAGTCGCTATGCAGCAGCCACTGAAACACCATAGCTACCACACACAGCCAGGGATGCTGATACGATTATTACTACACCTTTAACATCGAGGATCAGAGTTGTCCAATAAATAAACTATGTGATAGTTAAGTGCCTTTTTCACCTCCCTGCGGCACAGACTCGGCGTAATATGTTGCTACATTTACAAAGTGCTCACAGCGAGGTTTCTTCACCAAGGTGCAAATTCCCCAGCGTCTTGTGAGGGCAGGAGTGGAAAGTGGAATCAGAGGACCTGGGGATGAGTAAAAGTTGAGAAGCAGGTTGAGAACAAATACAGACCCTTTGTGTGCACTCAGGTTGAACAGCTGAGATTGAATTCACAGCTGTTTATTCACTGGATATGGCTCCTCTATTATTCTTGGCCAGATCCTGTAGATATCTTGCTCTTTGCTGGTCAGAGAGGAATTTCTGAGCTCATGCAGCAAAGCGAGTGAAAATGTTGTCCAGGACCACTGCTTCCAGTAAAATGTTACACATTTTATATTAAACCATGTGATTGTGTGCAGTTCTGTGTGTATGCAGGGGGGGTGGGGTTAATTTGCTGAGAGTGCAGTGTGGCCCATTTAAGAAAAGGTTCCAACCTCTGTTTATCTCAAAGTGCTCTGGTCTCTGCCTCGATTTTCCTCTCGCCGTGGAGGCTGTCGGGGTCGGCAGGGGCCACCGTCTGTCTCACCGCGATCTCAGGGCCGCCACCATAAATACCCAGCAAGTACTGCCACGTCTCCTCTGAGATCTGACCATAGTCTGCACCTGAGGAGAGAAACAGGTTAAAAACATTTAAAGGACCACCTGTTTTTCTATGTTTCCACCTTTGCAGCTTCCGCAACCGATGCAGATGTTTACCTTGCTTTAGTTGTATGTGTCCGCTCTTCATGACGCCAATTTTACTGTTGTCGATGGGACCAGGCGGCTCTGAAAGAAACTTTATGTCAAATGTTTTGTACCAACTAAAGATAAACAATTTAAATGTGTGTAGCTGCCGGATCATACCATTGTCTTTGCCCTTCACAAAGCTCTCCCACTCTCTAAACCACTGCATGCTGATACACAGGATCACTGTCGGAGCCTCTTCGGCCTGAAACTCTTTGTTCAACTGCAGGCAAACAGTAAATACTGCTCATTCATGACCCACAACAAAGTATAAAGGCATATTTGTGCAGAGGTTACAAACAAAAACCTTGGAGAATACAAGATATCACCTTGATGAAGGTGTCAATTTCAATTTTTCTGCGTTTAGCCAGGGCTTCGATCTCCACCTGGCAGATGGCACACATGTACAGGTGGTTGACTGCAGGGCCGCCTCCAAAACTGAACACACACATACAAACACAAACATTTAGCAGAATGGCACGACAACAGACAGTTTGACTCTAATGAATAAAGCCTGAGAGTAAGGAACCAATGACAATCTGTCCCTGTTCAAGCCTTTGTATTAAATTCCATCCAGAGAGATTAGATCGCAAGTGGAGTGCGTTAAATTCGTCTGTTCATACCTGGTATTCAAATGCTTCCTGAATGTGTCTCCTGGGACCACTTTTATTTGAAAACACCAAATGATTTAATCCAGTCTGAGGTTACAGATGTGTCCGATGATAATGTATGTGTATGTGTCTGCACGAGCAAGAGATAGAAAGAGGGAAAGAAAGAGAGTGAGCAGAGAGGAGGAGGAGAAGGGGCTGCATGAATCAGTGAGCTGCAGATCTACTATGAAGAAAGATTTTTCCACTTGAGAAAACTGTCATTTATCTTACATCAGTGATAAATGACAATTTTGACAATATTTATCTTATTTATGTTATATCAGTGGTGTTATTGTGGCTTCAGACAAATCACTGTGTGGACACTGAGAATATGTTGCAGGTCAGAGGGTGTCAGCTGAGTGGGTGGTCCTTGGTATGTGGCCCAGGACACATTTGCTCTCACACAGCAAAAAGAATGGATCTTAAAACCAGATCTGAACAGGGTCGTTGTTTTAAAGGTTCTCTCTTCTCAATGTTTCATCATTGTTGTTTTAAACACATTATAATACTGTTACATATGTCTCCAGCTGTGATAAAATGATTCTCATATTAATCAGATTGAAATAGAACATCTATTCTTTTTGACATTTTGTAATTCTGATAAAGAAATGTAGTTTGGTTTTTAGTTTCACTTTATTGAAATTTACGTACAACTCTCAAACAAATTCCTTCATGCATTTTGTAATTCACTCAAATGGTAGCATGTTGCATTTACCTGTTGTAAAGGTACTCCCACACATTCTGAGGAACTATCACAACCAGGTCGTCAATGTAGTGGTATTTATTAGGAGGGATCCCTGGACAGAGAAACGATATGTTCAGAATTCAAGGAAGAATCTATGACCTTTTTCCTGGTCTGTAAATGGAGACCAGAGAGAATGGTAACGCCAACAACAGTGCATTTTTATTCCTCCTACAATAAATCCCCTCCCTCATCCCGGCTGTCTTGTTAAACAGTAATGGTCTCAAACAATGAGGCTATGAGACACAAAGACAATAATCAAAAGAATCCAAAAGAAACAACCAGTGAAGTACTTTGGTTTAAATCATTGAGGGAATAACAAAGATTTGTGCTTTGGTTTTTGGAAGAATGATCTCACGTCATAAAAAATTTCCATCTGTGCAGGATCTGTGGCTTATGCCCCTTTTCCACTAGTCAAAAAATCCACTAACACGCACTATCTGTTTTTTGTCATTAACGGGAATGGATCAAATTACTTTGCAGAGGAGACAAGTTTTATCTGCTCCAGCTGCGGCTCTGGCTTCCTGTGATGGAAACATGATACCCAGTTGAACGCGTTGACATGCATTGAACCTTTAAGAGGCTGAAGTAAATGCTTCCTAATCGCAAGGATGGTGGCTTGTTAAAACACGGCGTCTCTTTTTCTTTTCTGTGATGTGAGAAGACCGATTCATAGTTGTTTTAAGTCACCGATGATGGAGCCGCGAGTACACACGCAGTATGAGTAATATGACACATTTCTTTTGCTGATGCATAATCTGTCTGGTAATATAATTACTATTATTGTGAGTAATTGATTTACCGTTCTTGCTATGTGCTCATTTGGGGATGACAGATTTCTGTTGTAGATTTGTATTCAGCCAAAATAAGGTGATTGTCAGTTGTTTTCACAGAACTGAACTTTATAATTCCGTAAAAAAGAAATGGGGCTTAATAAACATGCATTTTAATCCTGTCTTATCAGTGTGATGAGGAAGGATTTGGATGACAAAAAAAGTGGTTTTATGATCTTAAAGAAAAGCCGCTCACCCCCATGCTGACAGAGAAATGTGTGGTTGCTGATGGGGCCTGGTTCTGTGAAGGTGTTGAACTTGTTGAGCCATTCTCTGGAGATGTAAAACTGCAGCAGGCTGGGCTCCTTCATGTTGGCCAGAGCCACCACCTTCTGCCGCTCTCTCACTGACTCCTCGCTGCTCTTCCTGCACGTGTCAAGAAAAATCAGTCAGAGTAGATTCAGGATACATTTCTCAAAGGCCTTGTTCAGACCTGGTTTTAACATCTGTCCTGAGAAATCACCAGTGGACCTCGTTTGACCAATAACGATCAGATCTCACTTCCCCCACTATATAAACACCTCTATATGCAAGTAATCACGTACCAAGACCAGATGATGTTGTTTTTACCCAGTTTAAGTTCACAGATGTATTACGCTGACAATAACTGTGTCTCAATTCAGGGGCTGCATCCTTTGGAGGTTGTATTTGAAGAGCGATTGTACATTGTGACCATTCGAAGGCTCCTTCAAACGTGTCCTTCGATTCAGTGTCTAACTGAATGGTAATGGCGGCAGCAAGTGAGGTGAAAAGGTCTGAATAATTTATTTTTAAATCTAAGTACTCAACCGAGCAGCTAATGGTACACATGTAAGCCGATGTCGACTGCGTAGACCAGGTCCTCCGAAGGATGTGGCCCCTGAATTGAGACACAGATAGATTGTGCATGTGCCGGCGCAGAAAAGAGAGAGAAAAATAAACAGAAAGAGAGCGAGTGGAATCAGGAGGGACTAAATGAATGAATGTGCGCTGCTATGATGAAAGTATCAGATCAGAGGACGTCAGCTGAGTAGGCGGTCTTCATGCATTGCTCATACAGGAAGAAAAATGTGGCCACTTGCGTCTCAGGACATCTCAGGAATAATTTGGGTGCGTTCAGACCTGGACTTGATCACTTGTCATCAGATCACTCAGGACATGTGTTAATACCAGGTCTCTGATCACAGGGTCTCCCAATGCTCACCTGTAGAACAGCACATAGGCCTCTGCGTTCTGCACCACCGTCTCATGGACCTCTGTGACATACTGATCATCAAACTCATACCACTGTCCATTGATCACATTCTGACAGTAAGCTATGTAGTGTCCACCTGCAGAAAACGGGTAAGAGCATAGAAGTGTTAAGAAAGTCTCTGCACATATGAAACCAAAAGGTTTAGATCAAGTGTATGTTAAGCCTAGATGCTTTATCTGTGGTAAAGGAAGTTACACCTACTTCCTGCCGTGCCGTGGTGACAAATGACTGACAGCAGATCGTAAGTGGTGACTTGAGATGGACTCTCCTTAGCCAGGAAGGGTCGCATGTCGAGGCCCTCCAGCGGGAACGACACGTGACTGTTAATCTTGAACGAGTACATGACCTCGTGACGGAAACGTTTCAGGTGAATGCACAGAATCTACAAAAAAAAAAAAACAGTCAGGAATTCTTTGTGGGGCCGACTACAGACGAGAGAGATTTGATAAGAGGAAAAAAAATACCTCTGGAAGTCGCAGCACTTTGCAATATTTGACACCGTTTCTCAACCTGTGGAAAAACAACAAACCATGTAAATGAATGTAAATGAAAAAAGTGTTGTTAAGGTCTTGATGTGGGTTTTACTACACTCACTCACTTTTTACACCTCTCACAGCTGTACATGTTGTCCCCTGAGAAAACAAAATGAATGGTTATTTAAAAATCATACATTATTGTATGATGCCATGTTTATATCAATGTTTACCTTTGAGTTCATCTGCAGCAAAGAAGGCAGCAAGGCAGTCCTCTAGTGTCACCATGGGCCCCCAGAACCAAGTGGGGATACACGAGACCACAAACCTGTTCAAAGACAAACACATATATTTATATACATAACATATATAAATATACAGCCAGAGGACGTCCTCACTGTGTATGGGTCAGCCTTGTAATAATTAATAAGTCATGTTGCCCGGAGCGATAAGGCTGATGGGATAAGTAGGACTGAAGCAGAGGATCTTGATGAAAAGGAGGCTGGTATTTATTAGTGTGTGAGATTCGATGCAGATCTAAATAAAAATATAGATCCAGTGAATATAAATGTGGTTTCATAAGGAGACTGTTGGGCCTTGGCAGAGGTTAAGACTCTACTGATACCAATTCTAGTCTTCTATTAATTTCATTAATATAGAATATAAAATGTGTGAGTAGAGCAGCTTTAAAGTCCAGGATGGACATTTAACACCATGTTTATTAACTGCCAACATTACCCAAGAGCTGAGGAACAGCAGCACTGACACTGCTAGAAGCAATATGCAAACTACACTTCATTTTCTCCTCATAATCTGGAGGCCCTGAATACTGCAGTGCTTTAGAAACCACTGAACCCACTGAGGGAAACACTTCTATGCTGAAGCTTTTCTTATTTTTGAGTTCTGGGAGCTGCTGGAATATGAGCAAATGGCTCATGCCAAAGCTTGTCTCTGCGTGTCTCCTGCTATCTGTGACGTTAAAAGAAGATGCGTTTTCAGAGATACGCATCATTAAAGGTATGGTACCTCCACCATGGCTAACGCACATTCCTGGATCTGCTCCAGCATTTAACATTTCCAACATCTTTCTTGGGTCATGTCCCAACACTAGACAAAATTTCATGGAAATCAGTATTTTTTGCATAATCCTGCAAGATAACAAAATAACACTGATGAAAACAAAGTCCTTGATTTCCACTCTACTATCAAAACCCTCTACAGTGTTTAAATGTACAACATCACTCCTGCTAAGTCATCTGATGACTCAGCACTCCAACTTGTCTGGAAGCACTGGATCAATCATTTTAAAGCCCTGCTCCATCTACCTAATCACTCCAAGCAATCAGTCCTGGACTGAGTCTCAGACGTCCTACAGTCTGGTAATAAGCAGCAGGATCGCCAATTTATTCTAAGGAAGGCTAAGGGACTAAGCTCGGACATCTCTAGTACTAGTAAGCACCATGCTGCTTCAGTGTACTACAAAACTCAGAGTGCATATCAAGTCCTGATCAGATTGAAGGGTGGTTTATAAAACAAACACATCTGACAACATATTTTCAGTTGCCAAATTCAAGAGAAGTGCTGCAAGCAAATCAAGGACAGATCTGCAAGCCCTTGCATGCGTCATCTGTGGAGCATCACACGTGGCAGCTCTTGTGCCTTTAAGTGTGTTCTCCACCACCAAACTCAGTCTTATTAATACTAAGTCAAGATTCCACTTGTCAGAACCCTGCAGACAAAGGAGAAAGTATAAATCATACAGCGTCAGACTAATGCACGTTTATTACCGCCACCAAGGAGGCTGTGTTTGAATCTATTTCTTTGTTATTGAGCTAGATTGTGCAAAAACAACTGGATGAATTATCACAAAATGTAGTGTAAGGATGCAGTATGGGTCGGGAGAGAGTCAATTTAAGTTTGAGCGGATCTGGATCAAGGATTTTTTGACATTGTGAGATAGATAGTGTTTTTTGACGTTTTCCCCAATTTCTCAGGGAATAATTAATTGGATGTGCAATGAAAAAAATCTGGCATGTTTAGAGAACTGATATTTACAAATGGTGTAATATGTATACAATTTGAATATAAGGGAACATGCACGACCGTGTCAGCTAAACATGCTCCACTGACCGTCGAATGGAGTCCATGATGTAGGAGATCCAGCCCTGCGAGCCATAAGTGTCGGGACACACTCCCGTCTTGACTGGAAGGTTTTGGTGGATGGACGAGTGGAGCTTGGCCAAATCCTCTTTACCAGGAATAGGGAGGGACAAGTCTTGGAAGGTTTCCACTGTGTTAGACACCTGTCACACATTCAGAGATGTGGTTTACATGGCATGTCTAATAGAAACAATACATATACGGTATGTAAAAGATAATTAAAATTATTTTAACTCAGTCAATTCAATCACTCAAGTCATGCACATGTACAAATACTGTATAATTACACATGGCATAGTTTCATCCCCACCAGAAACATAGCAGAAGAATTATACAGTGGGTTCTGACCAAAGATGGAAGTAGCTTCCCCTGGTGTTTAAACATGTGAAGCACAGCTCACCCTGTCACAGGTTAAACACTGGACCAGACTGAGGATAGAGCCATCGAAGATGTCGGAGATCACACTGCGATAGTGGGACTGTTTCTTCTTCCTGGCACTGAGCAGCAGCTGAGCTGGAAGACCCGTCACAGCAGGGAGGGGCGGACTTAGTAAGGGTGACATTATTTGACTGGGACCAGCTGACAAAGTGCTTTAAACAAAGGCAAGCAACAAAATGTCTGTGTATATTATTACTATGTGATAGGAAACCACTTATCTTCTGAATTCACCTTCAACTTATTATTCATATTATTTATATACTTTTTATGTTGCAGATTCCAAAACTGCGATGTTAAAGAGTGGATCGCATTTGGTGCCTTGACTCTCACAAAGCTGCCAAAATGTGTATAACAGCAACTCACATATGGCAGAGGTTTGTCTATCAAACCCCACGTTTCCTCACCTTTCTTGAACGAGTACAGTGGTCCTGCAGAGCGGAGCGGGCTGGAGCGAGGTGGACTGGAGGACAGTTTGGTGTGCAGCTCCTGCAGTGTCCGCACAGGACTGCAGGGAGTGGACTGTGGTTGGGTCATGGATGCTTCATTGTCTGGCTCTACAATAGTGTCACATGAATATAATATATATTATCCTCAACTCAAATGTGAGAGAGGCAAAGTTTAGTTTGTACATAATCTGATTCCTATACCTGAGGTGTTGCTGCTCTGGCCTTGCCCTTGTGGAGTATTCGATTCCTGGTTGTTCTCTTGGTTTTGAACCTCAGCATTTGGCGTTGGTGTCGTCTCCTCTTCCGCCGCCCTCTCAGGGACCTCCTCCACAGCTGCTGTATCCACATCAGCGTCCTCGTCCATCTCTTGTGAGCCTCCACGCAGCGACGAGCCGGACACTCGTCGTTCCTTCAGCCTCTCCTTCTCAGAGATGACCCCGCAGGGGCTGATGCCGGCCACCGGCAACCGGACGCCGTCGCACTCATCCTGCACGAGCAGCTCACCGTCACCGGTGCCTCCTCCCTCCCCCCGGTCGCTGCTGGAGCCAGAGTCGCAAGACAGGAACTCGTCCTCTGACGGAGAGCGGTCGCCGTCTCTTCTGTCTTCTCCGTCACTTCCCTCGCCACTCATGCTGCACTCCGTCAGAGGCTCCTTCAGCTCCTCGTGTAGCTGGTCCATCAGACAGCGCAGGAACTCCTGAGTGTCCTGCAGCAAGAAAAGCACATGACATTAAGTCAAAAGGAGGATGTATAACATGGCTACATACACAGAGACAGGAGTTTAGCAGATAATAGGAATGAGTAACAGATAAATGTCTGTAAACTTGATCTCATAACAAGAAGGTTGGAATAGAAATATGTGAAAAAATAATATTTCAATGTATTCCAAGAGATTAAGCCACAATATCAGTGATCATGGCAGGAAGGTACTGTGGAAAGAGCATATTTTCCTACAATAACATTTAATCTATATTGTCATTTGTCCAAATACTGAGGTAATTCATCCTAATCAGTAAACATTGCAATATGATACTTTTTTATCATTTTATTGTTACGCCTGCTGTGCATGAGTTGGCATATAAATACAGTATAACACCCCGTCAATGATAAGCAATAATACTAAAGACTTTTGATTGATGTATTTTCCTATACTATTTATTGATAGGCCTCATTTATTATTCAAATATGTTTTAATATACCAATGTAAATATCCAAAATAGCACTATCAATAAGTAATTTCTGCTTTAAGATGAAATATTCACACAGTGCTCTACACGACAGTGTCCAGACAAAAAAAAACATAAATAAACATTTCTACAACCACAAAAGGCCCAACCCCTCTTTGGTTCCTGATAATACAGCACACTTCCCTTCTGTTTTCATTTATTGCCGTATATTTGATAGTGTACATTTGTGCACATGTAGCACTCTGATGAATTAACAATCAAAACATCAAACTAAATCCTTTTAGTTTTATCTTTACAATCACTGGCTTGTTTACAACATTGGACGTGAAGGAAGTTCACTTGCACTGACTCGCTCTCTTTAATGGCTGCTATCATTTCTATAAATCATGATGTGTTACTGTCCCACTTTTCGTTAAAGTTTCAAATCTTTTTCCAGCACTACCAGTAAGAGGCTCATAGCCATCTATAACTTTAAAAAAACAACAAATAAACCAGAACAGATTCAGCCACCCCTTAAAATATGCAAACAAGTAAACAACTCAAGTCGAACCTTTTGGTGTCAACAACAAACATTTCAGTCATTTAGGGGTAATTTTTGAGAACACAAGGGTTTACAGTTTAAAAACAAGAGACGAGACAGTGTCAAGATGTTGAGTGTGACCAGGTGTAGTTACCTGCTGGGTGCTTGCCCCTACCTGCTGAGCGTAACCACGAAACATGGGGTTTACGAGTTTGATGCCATGAGACAGACTGGTGGGGACAACATAGCTGGGCCTGAGAGCGAAGCAGCCATGAGAGACGGTATGTTACATATCATTTCATGTGAAAGACTGAGTGACAGATAATAGTCTCAGTGGATATCTGTTGTTCTGCCACTTTTAAAAGAATGTGATTATTACCGTTTTTTATGCCAGAGCTCTGAGATGAGTTTCTGGTAGCTCTTACAGAGAGCCGGCTTCTTGTCAGTGCGGACCAGGCCACTGCAGTCCAGGAAGAACTGAGTGAGAGGAGGACTGGCGAGGGAAGAGAAGGAAAACTTGTATAAACAGAGAAAATGTGGAAACATAGAAAAGGAGACCTACATCCATGGTGACTGTAATGAGAGGAAGTGACCTCACCAGTTGGACAGTGCCTGAAGAGCTGCATTCATGTAGCAAGAGTTTCCGATATTTTTCATCCCTGTCAAGCCTACGAACAACAGCAATGGCAGAAGTGTTCAAAATAAGCCGTTCAGATATTGAATTCAAACAGAGAGGGAAATATCACTTGTGGTCTGTACTCAAAGAAACCAATGTGGTGGCTTTCCTAATCAATGCATCTATTACACTATTGTTTAGGGGAAGACAACAGATTTGCTGTACCTCTCGGTTTCAGCTCATCCTCGTCTGACTCTGAACCTTCCTCTTCTGCCACAGCGATTGGAACAGCTTTCAGTGGGTGACCTATTGGCTGAGGAGCTGCTTCCTGGGAAACGATTAAAAAGATACTATAATTATGAAGGCGAGTAAAAAAAAAAAAGAGGTTGTGTGAATTTGAAATAGCGCCTCTAGAATAGGGACAGAAACAAAATGAGGTGATGCGACCTTGTTGGAGCGAAGTCGTACCTGCTCCGTGGCTTTGCAGTGGTGGGGAGCAGCAGGTACTGGCACCAGGGCGGGCCTGTGCTCCAGAAACACCTCCCGCTCACAAACGTAACACCAGATTCTGAAAGTCGTCAGGTTCACCGTCAGGTTGTGCCGTTTAGCCTGAGGGAAACATGTAACGTACAATCATACAATGGAATCTTCTGACATTATTACTTTGCCATATTGACCAGCGGCACAGGTGTTCTTTACCTGTGCATGCAGGGTGCTGTGATCGGAGTAGGACTCTCCACAACCAACGTAGGGACAATCATTCTGCAGAGAAAAACAAATGAGAATCACTATCTCATGGCTTTTGAATTACCTCCTCTATTCTTCTATCTATGTCAATGTCAATGGTTTTGAGATGCGTGGTTCCAGATCTGTCAGTTTCTTTGGATATAATTCATGGATCTTGAGGGAAAACTCAGAGGCCTGATGTCTCTGGGTGAGGTACACGATCTACTGAATGCCATTCTAATTAAACTTGCAGTTGTCTGTCTGCCAAGGTGAACCAGCTAAACCAACCAATCAGCTTTTGAAATGACAAAATGTTCAGAAGCTGGTGCGAGACTTGACTTTACCTGCAGACAGGCCCACAGGTTGGGGCCACCCGCTCCACACGACTGGCAGGTTCCCTGCAGCATAGGAAGAGAATATGAGCGGAAAAGAATAGAAAAGTGCACACACACACAAACCAGGGTGCTTAACGCTGTAGATGCAAAAACATGTGAACACATACTCCAGATTACATAGTTGCTATTACTGTTATGAGGCTGCTGCATCAGTCATTTGACAGTGGTGGCCATGACACACACAGCTGATGACCTGCACTGTGCATGTGTGACATTGTGCATTATTGTATTCACTGTAGATGAATGAAAACCCACCTTGGATTTCTGGAGCAGGTCATCTTTGGTTACCTCCCCTATGGAGTCCAGGTGGGGACAAATGTCCTGCTCAGCCATAGCTACTCACTCTCTTCAGGGGTGGGGGTGGGGGGCTGCTAATGTGACAGGGCAATAATAACAATGCTGTAGTAACTCCAGGAGTCAAGGTGTTGCAGCTGATGTAAACCTCGTGATGTCAACACAAATCAACAAGACACCTAATGCATCTCATCTCTAACTCACAACACGAACATGACATATGTCGTTTATCTTTCCACGGCGGCAGCACAACAATGTACCCACACACAGACTGTGACAGCTCTGCAGACTGAAAGGCCTCACGGTGTGTTCGATGTCAGCAGCGGCCGGCAGCGACTCGCGTTTACCGAAAACGAGCAGCGATCACCGCAAACTCCTCATTCCGCCGCCTCACGACCCATGCCGGCCGAGGATCGGATGCTAGCGAGGAACCGAATAGCCGAGCCGGGAGAGAACGCGACAGCTCCGGCCCACCAGCCCCAAACAACTCCCCCCTCCCGTCCACAGCAGCACGGCACGACGCAAGGCTGGAGGAGGAGAGACGTCAGCGTCACAAATCCATCCCACCACCATTAACAGAGGGAAGGGAGAGGTCGATATCAGGAATGAATCTGTTGATAATGTGATGGATAGATGGATAGATTACAGTGTAATTATGGATGTCGTGAAGAAAGATGTTTACGGAAGTGACGTATATTGTGCATTGGTCAAATGGGTCCTCGGTGCCCTAAGTGTGGCGAACAGCAAGAGTTTGAAAGGCTGGTACCATAAGAGACAGGATATTTATACATGCATATATATATATATATATGCAGAAATATTTAATGTCTAAATTACAACTTAATTATAAATGTGTAACAAACACCAGAATAACATAGAACAAACGGAGATTGCTTTTAAAATAAAATATACTATCAGAAATAAGACTAAGAAAGTGAATTGAACAATAGATGAGTAAAATAAATTAAAATACGAGTGTAATATACTTCATGTGGAAAATGACATGACATGATACACAGTGTGAGTGTGTTACAATCACGTTACTGTGTAGATGCTAATAGGACATGACAGCACTTACAACTATAAATAAATATAAATGCAGTATAACAAGAATTATTCAGAACCTCATATCTTTAATTTTGTAAAAGTACCACAGATGTATTCATTCATCTTCATATTAATCAAATAACTGCAGCTGTATCTATATTTAACAGTTTACTAGTTTAATAGTTTACCTCCGCAGCAGGAAAGTTGTGAGAAAGAAAGAAACACCAAAGTTCTGTTACACAAATCTGCTTTCATTTAAATGTTGGATCTTTTACCTGTTTGGTCCTTGAACAGTTGATGTGTGATAGTCAAAAAAAGTGGGAACCATTTGTTTAATTGTTGAGTGTTTTATATTTAATTATGCATTTTTTGCATTGGTATTTGTAAGCATGTCATATATTGTAAGTAACTACAAATGTCACAAAAATGTAGTGATACAAAATGATAAAATAGTATTAAAGACATGTAAAATACATCATTGTGTCTAAATATTTTAGTAAATATTCCTTCCATCAATTGCATTGTAATGCGCCCTAAATACTATATTAATATGAATCAGAGCTGGGTTTTATTGTCAAGCAGATTTACACATGCAAGGAATTTGCTGTGGTGTATTTGTGCATGTATGAATATACAAAATATAAAAATAGGGAACAAAATTAAATATATAAAATACTATAAGCACTAGGGGAGGGATTGTGCAACACGTTGTAAATAAACACATTTTAGTATGCTCAATTATATTCTTTTTAAAGGTGATGACAATGTTTAACTTTTTCAAACTTTATTTAACATTGAATAGCACAGAAACATGGACACAAATATGAAGTTTGTTCACAACCGATCACAACACAATACAATGACATTAAGACAATACATCGTTGTAACTGAACGATAATAATTTGACAACAATAATTCATCGTCACAATAAAAAGAAATGGGTGTGGGTGCATTTTGAAATGTCAAATCTTTATTGTCCCATCAAGTGTGACTCCAGTGATTCTGAGGCCACGTGACCACGCTGCAAGCCTCGCGGTACTTAGGCTTCCCAGAATGCCTCGGTCTTCCTTTCTGCCTGAACCGACATGGTGGGTACACAGCTGCTGCTTCTGAGACTCAACCTTACTTCTTCTATCTGCCTGCATCCTCCTTCACATGGCTGTTCTCACACTGTGACACGCATCCATGGATTCTCTGAAGGCTGCTCGTTACTGTCGTGTCGATATTAAGCGCGTGTTGTGGTGTTTTTAGTTAAAACTCGGATTGACTGACTCGAGTGGAGCCGGTACGAGAAGCGCTGTGGCTGCTAGTGAGATGCTAATGCTAAGGTCGGTGGACACGCTGGATTTGAGCTGTTTAGTTCTCGCTTTAATCGTTTTTGTTTCTCACTTGTCTTTTAACGCGACTCGTATGCACTCGTGGTATTATTCACTCAGTAGAAGTATAAGAGGACCCGTGTAGGTATCTTCTGTTTGTATCCGGTTGTATCACCGGGTCGTGTTGGGTGAAAGGGCCTCAGCGATGCTAATACTTGCCGATGTGTTTCACTTAGCACCCATAGCTCGGTTATAGTCACGTATTAATGTTGCTTGATATCTTCCTTCATTTAATGAAACGAATTGAACGTGTATAATTGTAGTTTCGGTGGTTGCAGCTCAGTTTCTTGCTGCATCGTTTGTTTGTATGGCACGTATGCACCAGCAGTGTAGATCGACTAGCATGGGGGGCTTCTAGCCACGTTTGCTAACTTATTTAGCTTTATTTGCTAAGGAATTATTGTTGCTCATAGTTTTTGCTGCCACAACACTAGCAACCGGATTTCACATTAAAATTGCTGGGTTAGCTTTTGAAATAGTTTGAACGAAAAGGAGTCAACCCAAATGTTTTTCTTTAGACATGCTGGGAATTGGTGCGAGTAGAATGAAATCACAATCCCCACGAGTGTTGGGAAGCGGCCCTACTTAGATCATTCTAAATCTCTACAGTTGTATATACATTTTAGCTTCAGATGTGTAGAAAGTGAGATTTTTGACATGTGTACTTTGAAATTTTCCTAATGCTATTTTTCTGTCCTGCAGCCTAAGGGAAAGAAGGCTAAGGGGAAGAAGGTGGCACCTGCCCCTTCAGTGGCCAAGAAACACGAGGCCAAGAAAGTAGTCAACCCCCTGTTCGAGAAGAGGCCAAAGAACTATGGCATCGGTGAGTGGCCCAATTTTGTTCGAGCGTTGGCTTGTTAAGGTGCAGATGATGTAAACGAGTATTTGCTATCTTAACTACACTGTAGACAACTACCCACCAAGATCGCTGATGCACTTAAGATGTCAAAGTAACCTGCTTCGGTTTGATGTTGGATACTAAATGTTTCGTCTTTCCCCACAGGCCAGGATATTCAGCCCAGGCGTGATTTGACACGCTTTGTGAAATGGCCTCGCTACGTCCGCCTTCAGAGGCAGCGCTCCATCCTCTACAAGCGCCTGAAGGTTCCCCCGGCAATCAACCAGTTCACCCAGGCTCTGGACCGTCAAACCGGTAAGGGTTTTGCATCAAATGTTGCTCCTGTAAAATAATATTTCAACACTACTCAAGTATTGTTGTAGCTTTGCAGATGATGTGAAAGAATATTTGCTATCTGATGTCGTGCTGACCATCCACCAAGATCACTGATGCATCTACTTGAATACCTTTAACCTTCTTTGGACTGAACTTGGAGGAACATTATGTTGTGTTATTTATTGCAACATTGGTTCTTTTTCTTCTCAGCCACACAGCTGTTCAAGCTGGCCCACAAGTACAGGCCAGAGACCAAGCAGGAGAAGAAGCAGAGACTGCTGGCCCGTGCTGAGCAGAAGGCTGCTGGAAAGGGAGATACCCCGACCAAGAGGCCCCCTGTCCTCCGTGCAGGTGAGATATACAGAAGAGCAGCAGTCTATTGACCTTGGCCTGAATGCAGTGATGACTTGAATTTCTTCACCTGAAACTCATGATGGTTTTGAGCTTTTTAACCCTGAGCATTTGCCAAAATGACTAATATTTTCAGCGCACAGTCATTTTGCCAATTAGATTTAAAATGTGTTTCCCCACTTTTTTCCAGGTGTGAACACTGTCACCACCCTGGTGGAGAACAAGAAGGCCCAGCTCGTCATCATCGCCCACGATGTGGATCCGATTGAGGTAAGTTTGTTCTGTGTTCAGGCAGCAGTGGAGCTAGTATTGGCTACATTTAAGTGCAGAACGTGGTCACTCGCAATGATGTCTGAATTTCTTCACCTGAATCCTCTTTGTTGATCAAAACACACGAGCTTTTTAACCCTGAGCATTGACCACAAACAAAAACCTTTGAGTAGTATTTTGCATAAACTCTTTTAAGTGATCTATCCTTGGAGAATGTAACATTATCTCTGGTTCCGCCTGCCCCTGTAGCTTGTCGTCTTCCTGCCAGCTCTGTGCCGCAAGATGGGGGTCCCATACTGCATCATCAAGGGAAAGGCTAGACTGGGCAGACTGGTGCACAGGAAGACATGCACATCAGTTGCCTTCACACAGACCAACCCGTAAGTAACCAATTCATTGTAAGCTGAGCTGTGTTCAATTTTCCAGTTTCTTAACTGATAAAGCAATTCAGACACTTTATTTGTTCACATGAAATAGTTTCTTTAATTTTTATAGGTTAGTGCTTCTTGAAAAATGCTTAATTCAGTTTTGATGTAGTTGAGGCTGAATGATATTAGAATTGTACTGAAGTAACCACAGCCTTGATAACCTGAGCAAACAACATCAAATATGAGAATAGGACAAGATGACAGTTTTGTGTAATGAAGTTTATCTATATCATCCAGCATTGAATCATTATTACCTTACAGTGCCATCAGCAAATAAGTGACTTTTGTTTTTTCCTAGTGAGGATAAAGGTGCACTTGCCAAGCTTGTGGAAGCCATCAAGACCAACTACAATGACAGATTTGAGGAGGTAAGAACCCTGTATTCACTGAACTGTGAAAGCAATAATTCACATCAACCCAAATGGCAAGAGTATAACTATGCAAACTTTTGTTCCAGATCCGTCGTCACTGGGGAGGCGGAATCATGGGCCCCAAGTCCACAGCCCGTATTGCTAAGCTGGAGAAGGCAAAGGCCAAGGAACTGGCCACCAAGCTTGGTTAAATTGTTTGGAATAAAAAATATGTATGTCCTAATTCAGTGTGTTTTTGTTATTGTAACAGCTGGTTTATGCTCTTTGAGGAAAAAGTTCATTCTTTAGATTCATTTTCAACCATGATGTTAATATACTAAAAAATTAAAGACCAATTCAAAAAAATTGGTAATGTAGAGCTGTTAAAGAGCAGTATGTAGAACATGTTGCAGCTGAACACCCCTCCTCTTTCAAACACAAAAAAGAACTTGTGGTAGTCTTCAGTTCTCTTAAAAACTCAAAAGGTGTTGAGTTTGTCCAGTCTGAACTACTACAGAAAACATGGCCTCCGTAGAGAGGAACCCCTCGATGAAACCTAGGTATTTAAATATAAAGGGCCTTTTCCAGTGAGAAAATTATTCTACATTAAATTCCTGCCAATAGCTCCTTTCACCTAAATCTTACTCACTGGACTTTAAGTAGTGACGGTCGGTGTGAGTGCATAAAAATACTAAACTGACAACCTATTGAATCAATGGTGTTTTCACAAAAAAAAAACTGAAGTGATGGTAATAAAGCTTGTTTGGCTCCTGTGGCCCAGGAGGCATTGCAGGTTGCCTGTTAACTGGAAAGTCTGCAGTTTGATCCCAGTCTTTGCTTGCGATTCACAGAAGTATCCTTAATTCAGATTTTGAACCCCAACATTCTGCTGCTGGCTCTGTGGTGATGTGTGTAAGAAAGTGTTGCACATTCCCTGCAAATGTGTCAAAGGCAAAGCTGCTGTGTGAAGCACTTCTAAGGTTAAAGAAGGAAAGCTGCTGTATGTTCACTGACCCTGAAATAACAACTGGAATCTAATAAATAAAAAGTGACACTGGAGTTAACCAGCAAACTATTATGTGAGGTTGAGTTTTGAATTACTAGATATTACCAAACTGGTATGTTTTCCAGAGCATCTCTATTGTATTTTACATCTAACAAAAAGTGACTACATTTATGGAACACTAGATATATACATAAATTATGTAAACATAATTCATTTATATTAATTTATTTGCACGTTTCAAGAGAACAAAGCTATTTACATGTTTGTCATTCAAGCTGGAGCTGACAGTACAAATAATGGATGTTACACAGTATCCCTGTGTACGGTCACTGCATTCAATCATCACACTATCTTCTTGATGAACTTTGCAAACCACATATAGGAGGTTGCTGCACACAGGCCATACCTGAAACAAAAAATATATATAAATCAATAGTGTCACAGCATCAAAGTGTAGTTAATCCATAAGAAAAGCCTCCACCTACCATGTAACTATGTACTGCATGTGTTCATTCCTCAGTGTGACTCGGGTCTGGCCACCGATTGGTCCTCCAGGAATCGTACTCCCTACAAGAGGCACGTTTACATTTTCCATTAAAACGTGATCCTCCTTGATACAAGTAAAGTAGTTCATTGTTTGAATCAAAGAGCATCATGGACATTGTAGTACGTGACACCTTACCATAATCAGCATCAATGAATATGGGCTCGGCTCCTGTGACGCGGGACATGGCCTCCAGGTCTCGATAATGCCAGCGATTTTTCTCCACGTCGTTGTTCGGAACAAAGGGTTTTCGAATCTCGGTCAGGCGGACCACACCGACCACTTCCATCTCCCCTTCCGCCTGCAGACGCATTATCAAATAATAAAAACATGTATTCCTTTACGGTCATAGTGTTAAACTGACGACAGATACCAAAATCAAATCAGTTCATCCTTGAGTCATAGTGAATGTTTGTGCCAAATGTGAATGGATTCCTTCAGCGTTAGAGAGATATAAGGCAATTGACCTTTGACAACCAAAATCTAATCATGAGTCCAAGTAAATGTCTGTATCAAATCTGAAGGAATTCACGTTCAAGAGAATGGGACGGACAAACAAACATGAAAAAGTCTGTGATTCTACACAACCTTCTGAGACACTAACCTGTCCTTTCATTCTGGTCTCTGGTCTGATCTTCTGTCTCGGCACGTATCCTCTGTTCACCAGGATTGTGATGCTGCAGGTGAAAGAGGCAAAGATCAGTCACTTGTTTGAACGTGAGAGATCACCGCGCAGTTACTGTCAGAACTTCAGGGTTAACCCAGCGATGTTCTATCCTGCCTCGGATCTTACCCGAGGTCAGTACAGTGGAACGGGGTGACGACGTTAGCGCCAGTCTCTCCGCTTGACGACAGCCTTCCTGCCTCCCTGGCCTCTTTCTCTGGGTCCACTGGTGAGCGGGGCAGAATGTACAGCTCCTGGGAGTGGTCGTACTGTCCTCGCACTCTCACTCTTCTGTACTCCAGCTCATTCAGCTCATCAGGACTGGAATCCAGGGAGAAAAATTAAACCTTTTCCACAAACTAATAGCAGAGATAATAATTGACAGATCTTCGGGGGACAAACACACGTGCCGCCTCAACAGTACAAGGATTTGAAACTAATTTATCTTATTTTATTCTATTTCAATGTGCTACACTATTTTCTGGCATAAAGCTACATTTTTGACTCTTTGGGCCCAACTAGTTCATCAGTTTGCCAGACATCTTAGGAATCATTGCTAAATTTTTGTTTTAAATATTTATACTGACCAATACATCAGTATCAGTCATTTTTCCCCCACCTTATATAGGGATTGGGTTTGGAGCCCAAAAATGCATATTCATCAGGCTTTGTCATCTACTTTGCATTGATATGTATAGAAAACATAGATATATGTTTAAAACATTCATTGCAGCTCTAGTTTCTATGGCGTACTTACTTCAGAGGAAGAGGGATGGGTTCTGCAGTAGTGAGTCTCGCCAGCTCGTTAATCAGCTGCAGTTTCCACTGACGCCGCTTCACCTTCACAGAAACAACAGTATCAGGCTCCATTAAACCACGACAATACACCTAGCATACGTCAGCGGTAGTGTCAATACACAGCTGTACCTGCCATGTGCCGAGTCCAAACGTGGTGGCAGGGATGAGCAGCAGGAACCATTTGAGGAACGAGTCCTCTCCATGTTCTGCTTTCACCGTTGAGGAGCTGGACTGTCGCACCAAGTTGATGAGCCTGCCTGGAAATTCACAAAACACAGGACAGGAAATGAAAAGGAACATAATTTGCACTGGAGGAATGCATAGTGGTTTATGGTTACACCCGTAAATTGAGTCGTAGGAGCGTGACAAAATTTGGACCTGATATAGATGTAAACTGTTGATTCTGAAAACACTGCTCCATTTCTGTCTCCTCTAATTATACAATCTTGACAAACTATTTGTGCCATTATGTGTTGATTTGTAAAGGAATGCAAATGTTGTAACACTAATAGATGATCCCTTTACATGGGCTTATTCCACTTATATTTTATGTATCTACACAAGGGTCACTGCTTTTAAGATTTTAAACATTCATTTCTTAACATTTCTGTATTTGATGACATTTTTAAGATACATGTATTGATGATACAGCATTCTGTTGAATATTTACCGTCTGCACGTTTGAAGAGAGGCAGTCTGGACAGAAGCAGAGTCCTCTTCATGTAAATCACATGAGTCTGCAATCACACAACAATAAACTGATCTCAGACCTGCAGCTCGTGTACACCGGATCACTTCCACACAACTCTCGTCTTCGGGGATAAAAAGAGGCAGAAGTGACGCTCACCTGTTTCCTGAGTGTCGATAAGACCCTGGTGGACTGAGCCAGCACTGACCTCAGAGAAGCCATGCTGGATCAACACATTCAGGACAATGGAGAAATGTATTAAGACAACTGACTACAACATCCCCGTCACATCGAGGGTGGCTTTCAATGCGTGTTTCTTAGAGTAGTTAAGGGACGGGTGCTGGAAGCGGCCAAAAAGGATGTGTATAACCTGAGAAAATACGGTTATTAACTACATGTAACCATCACAAATATATTTCCTCTGAATGTATATTCTGTTTAGATATTTTAGTCAAATCTAAAGTCTAAAGTCTAAACGTATCAACTTTTACCACCTTTACCGTAAGTACAAAATAACAGCGCAAACGAAAATCCCTCCAGCGACCCTAGACCGAAGTTACAAAACCGACTTGTTCATGGGGGACTGTTTCTGGTGTTACTACTTCCGGTTCTTCGACGCCCCGCCCCGCCCCGCTGTGTTTGACCCACGTGTGTAGAGAATGTGTTGATATTTCCACTGAGTCTCTTTCCGTCAAACAGAATCATCAGGTTTGTCTCAGCTGAATTCAAACTCAAACCCGGGTTCGTCTGCAGACATGGATCTCGCCTCCAGGGACTCGTACATCCAGAAACTGGCCAGTAAAGTGTTTTCTCAACGAGACCAGGAACCGAAGAAGAGGCCGTTCGGTAAGGTCGATTTATACACAATGTGTCCCGAGGACTGCTGTGTCGTTTCTCTACTGGGGTTTTTAGGATTTAATCATTTGTGATTTTTGTTAGAGTGGCTGCAGCAGAACGTTTTAACACTGTCATCAACAATCTGGTTATCCCTGCTGTTGACCAAAGGAGGTGCTACACTTCTTGATCATCTATACAGTCTATGTTGATAATGTACAGTCAAATGTCAGAAATAAGGCTGTTAAATCATTAATTCAATAATTAACTAGCCCTTCTTCAGAAAAAATGTACTAGTCTATTTAAGATTTAAGTCCCTTATGTAAGAAACAATTTCAGCTACTTCAATTGAATATGTTTATATTAACTTATATAGTGTTATGATATTTATCCAGGAAAGTTCCAAAGTATTTTTTAGTTTGCAAGATTCCCTCTGTTTGATGTCTTTGTAAAGTGAATATCTGGGTGTTAGATAAATCAAGAAGACAACAATTTTATATGTTCTTCTTTAGTTATGGTATTTCATGGAAATCAGTTGAGCAGTTTTTGTGTAGTCCTGCTAAATAACTAACTACTAATGTAGACAAATACAAATACAAATTCACATGTCTTCTGACTATTCAGGATAATTCATGCTTGTAGCAGCAGAAGCAGAACTACTGCATCACTTTGTGAGGGGAAGTTCCAGAGAACGTATCAGCTGTTATTGTCTTTTGCATTTAATAAATATTAGGAAATGGTAAAACTAGGAACACATGTTTTTTAGTTTGACAGAAAATCTACCCTGACTTTATTCTTTGCATTATACCCTCTTATTACCCATACACTACCTATGTAAAGTTCCTTCTCTGTTAACTATTGGCAATCAAGCTTCTGTTGACTTTTGTGTATGTAATATATTCAAAACCCATGACTTCAACACATCTGTGTGTGTGTTTTCTATACGTGTAGTGCATTTCAAAGGTAAAACTGACACTGGTCCTCCAAAGAAGAAAAAGTGCAAAAAGAAGAATTTCAAAGAACGAGGCCCCAACGAGAAGACGCCTAAACCCCAACAGAGTCCTTCGCTTTCTACAGCAGCACAGAAAGGTGCGGCCAAAGCAAAACGCAGTGACTCCAAAGCTGAGAGCGTAAATGGATCCACAGCACAGAAACAGAAAGGTACAGAAACTCAATTTGTCTTTCCCAGTTCAGTGAAAGTAAAAGTAAAAACCGTGAACTTGAACTACAATGACGTTTTCTTCTTTTAATTTTTTTTAAGGAGTTAGTAACCAGTCCAACTTCTCGACAGTGGATGTTTTACGCAAAAGGCTGCATGAAAAGATAGAAGAGTCCAGAGGGCAGGTATGTGTATGCTGTGACAGAAAGCCTCTGGGAAAATTATGATGATGTATCCAACGTGATGTTTATTGTACTCTTGCACACAATTTGACACATTTTTTTAAAAGCAGCAAACACAATAAAGAATATGTATAAGGAACAATATGTAACTTATTTATGGTGTCAAATAATATATAGTCATCCTCTTGCTACGTCTAGAAAAATAAGTGTTCTTGTGCAGTTAAGAGTTAAGTGTCTTAACAGCCACATTATAATGGGTTTCACTTGGTGAAGATTTGATGAAACAGAAGCCCTCAACAGGAAAAAATGGGAATAATACGCACATCCAGGGGAAAAAAATCTGTTGATGGGTCCAGGATCCACAAAATATTGAAAAAAAGAAAGCCCACACACCTTAAGCTTCTGTAAAAAAATTTTTTGCCAGTATTAACGACCCTAACATTTCTAGTTATGTGCATGTTAACGTTTCCATTTCCATTTATCCAGGTTGATGCAGTTTACTTCAACATGCCTGATTTCTGACTGAATTATATGAGAGAAAGTAGCACCACCACATGCTACAGAGTTTAAACATGTGATTTATTGTTTATTTGACACTAATGAGGTTGCACACATCTTTTATCAGGGAGCCCCAAAGGATGCATTATCAGACGCCGTCCTGGCAAAGCGAGCAAAGCGGAAGCTGGAACGAGAGCGCAAGAAGAGGAAGAGGAAAGAGTTTCGGATGAAAAAACTGACTGAAGACAGTGGCCAAGAGCAGCTGCCAGAGGTAAAACAGGAGGTGCAGGAGACGCCCGCTGCAAGCAAGAGAAGTGAAAGCTCTATTATATTCAACAAGGTGGAGACAGTGGAGGAAGGCTACGTAGACAAAATGCAGAAGAAGAAGAACAAGAAACAGAGCGTCAAGGGCCAGATAACGCCGCTGACGGGGAAGAACTACAAGCAGCTGCTCGGTCGCGTGGAAGCTCGCAAGGAAAAGCTGGAAAAGCTGAGGGAGAAAGATGAGGGGAAGGCCCTTGAGATGGAGAAGAAGATCAAATGGACCAACCTGCTTTATAAAGCAGAGGGCATCAAGATAAAAGATGACGAGAACATGCTGCGCACGGCGCTGAAGAAGAAGGAGAAGAGGCATGAACAGAGGAAAAAGAAATGGGGCACACTTAGCGATAACGTCGTAGAGAAGATGCAGCAACGGCAGGACAAGAGAAGGAAGAACCTCCAGAAACGCAGTAAGGCCAAAACGGAGAAGAAGAAGGACAGGGCACGGAAGAAAGGCAGAGTGTTGCCCGAGGACTTGAAATAAGCTTCAGTGTAATGGAAGGAGTCTGTTGTATGATTAGAAAACATCTGTGAAAAAGTAAATCAATTTTTTTATATGACAGTAGTGTTTATAAAATTATATCAAAGTGCTACTGCAGGTGCACATGCTGTACCTTCTGTCCTGTGTAGGAGTAATATGATGTGTTATGATCAATAAAATCTAATTCTTCATAGTGATGAGTGTTAATGGTAATCTCTGCTAGATATCAAACCAAAGTATGTCATTTAAACTGGAAATATGTGTGAGATACAATGATAGATGCCACTGTTATGTCTCTGCTCTATGAAGGTGATGTACAGCCACAACCACCAGAGACACAAAACAAGAAAATACACAAAGACTCAAAATGACAACAGAGAAACAACTACAGACTCAAAATGACTCTAAAGACAAACGGAACAACTACAAAAAGAGACATAAAACAAATATAAAGATGCAAATTTACCCTAAAGATATATAAAATGGACACAAAGACACAAAGCAACTACATAATCATTCTAAAGAGATACAAAATGATCACAAAGAGGCATAAAACAACTATGAAGAGGCAAAATGCTCTAAAGATATATAAAATAACCACAAATTACCCTAAAAACATACAAAACAACTACATAAAAACTCAAAATGGCTCTAAAGAGACAAAACCACTACAAATAACTACAAAGACACAAAAGGACTCAAAATCACCCAAAAGATAAAGAATCATAATGAGACTCACCCTAACGTGATAGAAAACTACTTCAAAATGAGATTATAGACCCAAAACTACAACAAGACACAAAATGACCACAATGAGACGCAGATTGAGACTCAAAGGACAACAAAGAAAATGGCCCACTGTCAAGTGGGAAACAAATACAGCTCTTTCCAAATAGGAAGAATTCCTGTTGTGTCAACTGATCTCAGTTCAGTTATGAGTTATCATCTAACACAGTGTAGTTAGTGTAATGTCACTGATTGACCGAAGGTGTCGCTGTGTCCCATTTGAATGTCTCGCTCCGCCCAGCAGGAAGAAGAAGAAAGCACAACATGACAACACGCTCAGGTGTCAGCTGGTGTGACGCTGACTGTCTTTGTTTTGAAAGCTGGTTCTGCAGGAGCTCGTGCTCAGATTTAAACTCCACCGTTGTGTTGTGAGCGGGGAAGTCAGCAGGAGCCGATGATCGTCCATCGATGAGAATACACTTCAGAAATCTGCCCGCTGCTGCTGCTGCTGCGACCGGAGTTCGTCAGAGTTCCATTAGAAACCATCATCAGGTGACTTCCGCTTCATCTCACATGAAGACACGCTCCAGTGATCGATACATTTACTAACAGCCTGCCCTCTGACTCCAGGAGACCATGTCCAGACGACTTAACGCGCGCAGGACGGACGGTGTGGATAAAAACGTGTGGTGGGTGATCGAGTCTTTCATTTCATTTGTTAAATACAGATTTACACTTTATGGTGCTCGGATTTTATTGCTGTTAAAGTCGAGTCAGTCCGTCAGCTCCATGTAAAGTGATCCCGTGTTCAGTGTATCTGTCGCCTGAATATAATCCTGACCTTTAATTCGACTGGATCACATTTCCTCTTCAAACATTGCATGTTTCATGCTTTTATTCTGTTATGGTTTCTTTTTTCCCTCTTCCAAAACTTTAAATGTGGAGGATTTAAGATAATATTTCTAGTCAAGCCAAATGTGTTTATATAGCACATTTCATAGGAAAAGCATTGACTCAGTGTGCTTCAGTATACACAGCAAAGACAAATACATGACTTGACTGAACATGAGATTCAGTCAAGATTATATAAAATAACAGGATATTTCACGTATATATGAATATTTTTTATTCTCATTTCGAGTAATTACTATTAAGTATATAAGTGAAAATGATTCATTTATATATATTTTTTATCTATTTATTTCTTAGAGCTACTCACTTGTGTTCCCTTATTTAATATGTATATATATGTTATAATGCAGGGATGGGGAACCTTTTTTCTATCAAGGGCCATTTTATTTTCTTAACATCCTTCAAGGGCCATAATAAATTATCGTTTAATATGAATGGATTCTGATTCACAAAGTCTCGATTGGATTTGATTCAACATCTACTCAGTAATCTGACATTTGACAACATTCAACTGATGAATGTGGTTTGACAACTGCAGTGTGTGAACAGCTGTTTTGCACCATCAGGGTTGAATTTACACAACTGGCTGCAGACTACAAAGTCGTGAACCTCGGACAGGGATTTCCTGACTTCTCCCCACCTCCGTTCATCCAGGAGGCTTTTTGTAAAGCACTGAGGGGAGGACCGTCCATGCACCAGTACACCCGAGCCTTTGTAAGTGGGATGAAATACATGCAGAGATTTGTGTGGGGGGTAATTTATTACTCTGACCCTGACCCTTCTTACCAAACATTGATTGACCTTATGTTTTGTTGTTCTTTGATTCATCAGGGCCACCCCCCTCTTGTAAAAGCTCTGGCTAAATTCTTCAGTAGGATTGTGGGGCATGAGATTGACCCATTTGAAGACATCCTGGTCACAGTCGGAGCTTATCAGGCGCTCTTCTGTGCATTTCAGGCTCTGATCGATGAAGGAGATGAGGTAGGAAAATCAGCCTGTGTGTGTGTACATGTGTGTACTCAATGTCAAAACAGGGTGTTCAGCTCAAGTTAAAAAATAACGTTAAAGAAAGATAAGATAAAACTTAATTGATCCCATGCCAAGGAAGGTCACTTTTTACAGCAGCAGATGAGAGAAGAGAGAGAGAGAATCCATTTACTCTACAATGTTGTCATGTGTGGTTATTTTTTTCTAATTATGTCTTTCAGGTAATAATCATTGAGCCGTTCTTTGACTGCTACCAGCCGATGGTGGCGATGACTGGAGGAAAGGCAGAGTATGTACCTCTGAGGCCAGTGAGTGGTTTACACATAAAAACAAAATATCTATACAAAAGAGTTGTGAAGCATCTTTTGACGATGTAATCTTTATGTCGACTATCATTTGTACAATTACCTCAAAGTGTATTTGTCTTTTCATTTCCAGAAAGGTGAGGGCAGTGCCGTCCTGTCAAGCGGAGACTGGGTTCTTTCTGCTGAGGAGCTGGCCAGTAAAATAACTCCACGTACTAAAGCCATTGTTATCAACACGCCCAACAACCCAATAGGAAAGGTAAGATGCTGGTCGGGTGATGCACCGAGCCTGCTGAAAGAAGAGCTTCGCTGTGCTCATGGTTTGCACAAGCACCGACAATATCTATATGAACAGTAGATTTAAGCCATATCTTGGACTCAAAGTCAAATTTAGGCCACAGTAAAATACTGAAAGTGCACTGTTTGTCAGAGGCACGCAACCACAGGGCAGTTATTTGAATTTTGTCATTTCAATAACTATAGTATGGTCCCTGACATAAGCACACATGTGTGTCCACTATAGGTTTACAAGACAGAAGAGCTCCAAATGATCGCTGATCTCTGTATCAAACATGATCTGCTGTGCATCAGTGACGAGGTGTACGAGTGGCTGACGTATGACGGAGCCAAACACGTAAAGATCGGTGAGATACTGTTCAGATAGTTTGGCAAAATGCTTCAACTCGTAGAGCAATATTAATATTAATATGGTGTGTAACTGACAGCCAGCCTTCCTGGCATGTGGGAGCGAACAATAACCATCAGCAGTGGTGGAAAGACTTTCAGTGCGACCGGATGGAAGGTAACGCACAGATGGATTTTGTGTTGGGTTGTGTGATCTGAGTTGCGTGATCTCCTTCACGTCATTGTTATAATGGCTCATATTGTCTTCTCAGGTCGGCTGGGCCATCAGCTCTGGACATATCATCAAACACATGAAAACCATCCATCAGAACAGTGTTTACCACTGTGCAACAGCTGCTCAGGTAAATGCTCAACTCCATTTTAGAAATTGTTGTTGCAATGAAACGTGGCCTCTTTACAACAGCTCCTCTCAGAACTGCACACTGGAAGAAATTTGGTTTCTCGTTTTTGAATTTTTAGCAGGAATTTCTGTTTACTATTCTAACCTCAATACCAGACCAGACGGGAGTTTCATGAAATACCAAATGTCCCACCGACATTTGTAAATGTTAATGATTCATGTAATTCAGCCACTGCCCCTGACATTATCAGAAAGGAAGATGGTTCTCTCACCTTACGTTTGACTACACCGCCCAGTCACAGGAACAGTTCCCACAAATATGTTAATAAGGGGTAATTATACAGAAAGAATAAATATTAATTTGACTGTTGAACTTAAGTGGTTGAATCCTGAACTCGGACAGATTTGAATCTACCAGCAACCAGAACACAATCGATTCTACAATGATATTTTCAGCGTTTATGTTTGCTATTATGCTCTGAAAACCTTTATTCAACAGAATAAACTAATCCCATTTTGTCCCTTTTCATCTATCATGTAACCTTCCTGTTCCAGGAGGCAGTGGCTCAAGGATTTGAGAGAGAGTACGAGCTGCTGGGGACTCCAGAGAGCTACTTGCAGCAGCTGCCCGCAGCTCTGCAGCACAAGAGAAAGAAGCTGGCCTCTTGTCTGGAGAGCGTGGGTTTGCAGCCCATCTTACCAGAGGGAGGATATTTTATGATCGCAGACATCTCCTCTGTCGGTGGGTGATGAACAAACGTGAAGTGGTTGTGTTATTATGACAATTTCTGTATATTTCTTAAATTGTGGTCTTGTAATTAATATTGACCTTGCTTTTTTTAAACAGAGGTGGATCTGAATGACCAGAGCCCAAAGGATGAAGCCTCTGATTTCAGATTTGTTAAATGGCTCATTAAAGAGAAGGTAAAGATGAAATATTCGACTAGATGACACTTTGCAGAGCGCATACCTTCATCAATGCCCAAGAGTTCATTAATATAGGGTCCCTGAATATGCCTCCTTCTTTCTTTCATCAAGATCCCTGAATTGTTCCCTGAGAAATTGATGACAAAAATGGCATTGTCTTTTTCCAGATTTAATTTGTCCTTCGCCCATATCCCACCCTTCCACCAAGTTTCATGGAAATTAGTTCAGTCGTCTTTGAGAGTCAATCAAACCAACCAACAAACGGACAGAGCGACAACATAGGCACCTTGGCAGAGCAAATAAAAATGTGAAAAAGTGAAAAAAACATGCGATGTTGGGTCCGTTAAAGAAAACATGATTACATTCATGTTTTTGTGCAACATTTATTTTTTGGGTGTGATTTAAAAATACTTCTCTTTTTAATTTATCTACCTCTCCTCCAGGGTTTGGCAACAATCCCCGTCTCTGCATTCTACAGTCCAGAGCACAGCAAGCAGTTTGAAAACTACATCCGATTCTGTTTCGTCAAGGTAAATTGAGCTTCAGATTTACTGACATGAATGCGACCCTCTCCTGTCGCTCTGCTCCCCTCGCCAACACACTCCCTCTCTTTGTCGAACAGGAGGACTCCACTCTGGACGCAGCTGAGGAGATCTTGAGAAAATGGCACCAGGGGCCGTAAAACCGTCCATTATATGAAGTGTTACCCGTCCATTCAATCAAGCTGCTTAAAACTGGGTTAGTCTGACTACTCAGTTCAAATGAGCCATAATCAGTTTCCGAGCCTGTCCCCACTGAAAACACTCCTGCACAGGGATTTTAGAAAAGCAGAAAATTACTGATTAACATTTTTAGAAAATATTTAGGTGATTTTATTTTTCATATATTCAAATGATGTGCGTCCATTGTGATATGTAATAAAACTAATGAATCCACATGTTATATTATTGTTTTGTTTATTCACACAGTGTTTTCATGTAAAGAAATGTGATATTACAGTCATTGGGATAAATTGGTGAATCTATGTGAAACAAAAATAATGTTCAGCAACCTAACTGCAGTTAAATCTTAAACCTTGATGTAGTCAAGGTTTAAGATTTAAATTTAAAATTATTGCAATAACCCTTAATCACAGTAAATAAATCCTGTTTCATTGAATTAACAATCAATTTCAGTGCTTGTGAAAGTGTTGATTCATGATATACCTACTATAAATGTAAATATATTAATCTACTGTTAATTTTTCCCTAGATGTTTTATCAATGTATTCTTATTATATTATATGTATCAATATTTTTGTGGAAAATTCAGTCATAGAGATGTATTTTTGCACAAAATAAATTGCATCATTTTTTATTTTAAGTAACAAATTTTATCAAGTATCGCCTGCTTGTGGCAACCGAAGGCGCGTCTGCTTCATTTGTAAATCGTGTTCTTGAGCCCAAGGTTAAGTAAAGAGGGATAAAAAGTATTTATAAGCTAAAATCACAACTGTTCACTGAAATAAACATATAAAACAAACCCTCAGGTCTTTTTCTTCATTCTGACAGGCTTTTATTTTGAAAGCGAGAGATGACCTGGAAGTAAATAAACATCACATGTTGGTGCGTTTGAAAATGTCGACCGACGGAGCAGCTAAAAGAATCAACCCTGTGACTTCTCAGGTAGTTTCACTTCTGAGTGCGAAATGTCCCCGTGTCCTGCTTTGTGATCTTTAATGTGTGTGTTGTGTGTTTGTAGTGTGAGGAGCGCGTGGACTGGAAGAAAAGGAAAACAGAAGGTGAGCCGAACACAGCGACATGTAGCGGTTAGCTGCAGCTGCATGCTAACACAGGTGGTCTGAAGCTACAGGCTTTATTTTAGTAAATACATTCGATTGAAGGGATTTTTAACTGTCTTAAAATGGGTGAATATGTAGATTTAGTTTGTTTAAAATCACTCAGGGTTGTAGATTTTTTATTTTGAGCTAAAGGAATAAACCACAATTTCTTGTAATGTGTCACTTAACTTTTAGAAGAGCAGCTTTTATGTTTAATAATTGTATTTTCTAAACAGCTCCCCTGGACAGTCAAGTGTCAAAGTGTGATTTTATCTGTCAAGTTTTAGTTATACATTTTAAAAATCACATATTTGGTGAGTTGGACCTGATGTTGAACAGCTGGCACACAATCTATATATTCAAAATACAAGTTCCTCCTTTCATTCTGAGGGCTGGGATCAGTGCACTCGCCTGTCATGTTTGTGATCAATTAAAGAGGTACTTTATACTAATGCATCCCTCTCAGTCCACCTTAAAACTACTTTTTATTTACAATTCCCCATTATAAGTTTCATTACATGAGAGAATATTGTGAAAAATCTAAAAACCTCATCTATCTATCTATCCATTTTCATATTTATTTATTCTCCATCACACCCCCTGGTTGAATCAAGGTTATGTTTAAAGTGGACTCTGGACACCATCTGTCCTTTAATCAGTGTCTCTCAATGTGGGTGTCAAGAACAAATCAGAGAGAAATCTCACATCAACTGTACATGGGGTCTTTAATAGATACAGTAGTGCCTGATTGTCATTAGTTACAAGCCAAACCTTTTCTGAATTACTTCCTCAGACCTCACATTGTAGATATTGACTGATATCATCATTATATCTGGTGAATAAGAATGTCTCATTGGCATCTTTTATTTTCCCCAATAACAGTAAAAGAAGCAAAGAAGCAAAGGAAAGCGGCCAAGCTGATTAATCAGTTGGAAAAGCAGAAAGAACAAGAGGCCCAAGAAAGAGCCGAACTAGAAAGAAGCCACAACAAAAAAGGTAGCTATCATCATTTCATGGTCTTGTGTTGTTGTTTGCCTGTGTAACTGAGAACGTTTCATCTTCTTGTGTTAGGTCGGGCATACACAGTGAGCGTGGCCCTGCCGGGTTCTGTCCTGGACAACGCTCAGTCCACTGAACTACGTACATACCTGGCCGGACAGATTGCTCGAGCCTGCGTCGTGTTCTGTGTCGATGAGATCATTGTGTTTGACGAGCAAGGGGACGATGTCAAGTAAATTATTGATGTTTAGGTACAACTTATTTGTGGACACCCTTAGATTATCAGAGAGTTAACTTTAGGTCTTAATCCCACAGGAGCACTGAAGGAGAATTTAACGGCGTGGGGAAGAAAGGGCAGGCTTGTATTCAGCTCGCCAGAATACTTCAGTACCTCGAATGTCCTCAGTAAGTAGGAACATATTTTAATCAGATCAGTGGTATTGGCCAGTTTGATCAGATTGTGCTCACATTGTTTTCTTCACCATCAGGTACCTACGCAAGTGGTTTTTCCCAAAACATCAAGATTTACAGTATGCAGGTGAATAGAAATTATTCAAATGTTCTAAGTCTGACACTGTAGGGCCCCTCGGACATAACTGGTCTCTACAATTAAACTATTAGCACTTCCTGTTTGCACTGTAGTCCCGGCTTTTGTAAAGCGAGTTTATGGATGTTTTCGTTATGATTCATAGAACCTATATTTACTTTGAAGTAAAGGTAACTTTTAACAGCAGGTATAAAAAATGTCCAATTTACACATGTAACCTGTTTTTCCTCTCCCAGGTCTGCTCAACCCTTTAGACAGTCCTCACCACATGAGGATAGATGAGGAGTCAGAATACAGAGAAGGAATTGTCCTCGACAGGCCAACCAAACAAGGTCAAGGTTCATTAGTCAACTGTGGCATGAGAAAGGTGAGAAGGTTTTTCAACGAGGTCACTGCCATAGACGAGTGTGGACTAAATTGTATTATATCCATTTTCATGTGAATATAGTGAAAACTACTGGTTCATATTTGGAGTATTCTCTGGATTCATTGATATATTGTCTGATCTATACAATGTCAGAAAAATTGTTAAAAATGCAAATGTCCAACCAACGCAAATATATTAAATCTAGTAACCGTATCATCGAAGACCAAGGAAACAAAACATTTCTAAATTAACGCGCTGAACCCAGTGAACGTTTCTGTGCATAAAATGCTGCAAACAAATAACTGCTATGAAAACTAGTGTCCTGATGGACTGAGACTGACTCACGGATCATGTGTGTTGACCGGACCTCACACTTCGGCTCCGTCCCCCCGATCACTACTGCACAGACTCTGGCTCCATATGCTCAATATTGCAGCGTCCATGTCCGGGATATTTTGGCTTCATTTCGAGATTGTTGGAGGAAGTGGGGATGCGTCGTCCATCTTTATTTACGGTCTATGATTTGCCCTCCTCAGGAAGTTCGTATTGATAAACAGCTGCAGTCTGGACTCCGAGTCACAGTCCAGCTCAACGAGACGCAAAATCAAGGTAATCTTTTCCATCAGCCTGAAACCTTTTTGACAGTGACATATTCTCTGAGTCCAGTACTGACTGTGTGTGTCCACATGTCCCATCATCCTCAGAAAGTAAAATTTGTAAAGGTGTGGTGGTGGCTCCACATGTGCCCAGAACTGAAGGAGGTCTCTACTGGGGTTACACTGTCCGCCTGGCGTCTTGTCTCAGTAGGTTTACCATTCTCTGAGTAACCTTCTTTTTCCTCAAACATATGCTGCAATTTATTTCACTGTGACGACTGACGTGTCCTTCCCGTCTGTCTGTTAATGCAGGTGCAGTTTTCACAGAAAGTCCGTATAAAGAAGGATACGATCTGACTATTGGCACATCAGAGAGAGGCAGCGACATGGACCAAACCACACTGTCGCCATTCAAGTATGTTCAGAGGCAACTAAACATGAAATCTGAGAGTTTTTAATGGTGCCAGGTTCAGACAACACAACTGATCATTGAGCAGTTCACACTACACTACATTAAGTCTTACTTACAAGTGACACAGTGACTCAGAAGGATCATGATTTTGTTCTTCTGGCTTTTCCTTTCGCCCCACTCTGAAGTTGACAGTTGTGGTTTTTGTCTTAACAACTATGAAACATCACCATGACCTCTGATCAACACATGAATGCCCTCCAGGGTTAATTGTAATAACCCTACTGATCCCTTAAATTTTTCTATGATCAGGTCAAATTTTTGACAGCTGAGTTGTGTTGCAAGCATGATTCTTTGTGTAGCTATACAAGTATTAATATTTTATCATTTTATTTTAGAAATTAAACAAAATAATTTGGACTTCTCTCCTCTTCCCAGGCATCTTGTGGTGGTGTTTGGGGGTCTTCAGGGATTGGAGGCCAGTCTAGATACGGACCAAAACCTGGATGTGACTGACCCCAGTGTTTTATTTGACATTTACCTCAACACATGTCCAGGTCAGGGCAGCAGGACCATTCGCACAGAGGTGAGGATGGAGACATTTGTTAAACCCAGCATTACAGATATACATGCACTCTTTCTATGACAAGTAAATATTTTATTATTTGTACTTCAGCTTCAGATGTCCTGTTCTGCTCATCAATGTTTGACAGTATGTTCATGTAATTATTTCTTGTGTCTTTTTTTTATTTTACAACAGGAGGCCATCTTAATTTCCATGTCAGGCCTGAGACAGAAGATCACAGCTGCTTTTCCAGATGTTTCCACTGGCTGATTGAATAATGAGTGATGGAGGAACGTAAATAAAGACATGTTTGTAGATGTTTTATCGTCTAAATGGTGTCAAGGATTTGTTAAATTTATAAAAAGGTCCAATTACAGCAGAGTTTACTGTGAAACGACCGTTAGCTCAAATCCACAGATCGCTGCACCGAGTGCTGTCATTGCTATACACCTGTCAGATTTCACCTTGTGTTGCTATTGAGATACCATTCTGTATTTTTCTAAATGATCCAACATATTGTACATGTACAGAAACAGATACTTTCTCTGGGGTTCAAGTGACTTGTATTTGTTTTAAAGCAGATAATTGGTTTAATACAGTGCAGAACATTTCATGAAAAACCGTTGAAACCAGCACAACATGTCAACATCTTTAATAAACACCAGTCATCTTCAGGTTTCTGAGCAAACAAGTCAAACATCTTTGAAATGGAGAGAGTGAGTGGTCCATCTGCTCTTAGTCACATCTGAAAATTAGAAGTTTCTACAGAACTACAGGTCTTTACAGCTCTTTGATTGTCTTCCTTATGCAATCACACATTTAATTGCAATGCATGCTGCAAATATCTACACCTTTTACAGCAACATTTCCTTTTTTGGAATAAATCCTTTCTTCTTGAAGGAAATTGTAACTAATTCAAATAAATTAGGTGGACAAAATATTACAAACCAAGCTTTTGTGTCATCCAGAAACCTTGGAGTTTAAGTTGCCATGTTCTGTGTTATAGATATTGGCTTTTGAAAATACTGCATTGTTTAAATCAAGGAATAATTTTTTCAGGCTAATATTACTAAACAACAGATCATGTTTTCTATTCATTATCGACCAATAGATTCAGAGGTATAAGGCTTCTGATCGCAGCCAGTCAATCAGATAGAGTATATCTGAGAGAACACTTTAATTACTTGCAAAAGGCAACACTGTTTAAGAAATCCCAGCCTCCTCTGCTTCATGTTTCTACATAAAAATTGAAACTAAACTTTCAATTAATCGTGCAGCTCCAAGAGCAACATACCAACACATAACAAGGCCATGATATAGTTTAATTTAAGTTGCATGCGCTGGAATGTCACTGAGGTTTAAAAAAAATTTAACATTTAAAATATGAGGCAGCGGTTTTATGTTCATATACTAATTTTCTTGTAAAATGTTAAAAATCAACATTAAGGCAACAAAAAAAGTGCTAACTTCAAATTGTAGTACCATCTGTATCTGCAGAAATGAATTTCTGAATTTTACTTTCTGGAATCTAAATATGTCAGACTATTACAAACAATGATAGACGCATGGTGTAACAGTGATGTAACTGTTTATCACTTTTGAATCAGAAATAAAGTTCAGTAAACCAATGTGCTTTATCCTCAGTCTTTGTAGTCCCCTGATA